ATACTTTTGAGTTTCAGAATTCTTGATTATAAATATCAGTCAAAATAGAAAAATGGTGAATGTTTACGGAACCCAAAATTAGTTACCGTGGTTTCCCATTGGGTAATCCGACAGAACCGAAAAACGGTTACCGTGAATTTCCGAAATCCTCAGGCCTGCTACTGAATTATTTAGATTTTTGCAGCATTTGTTTATAATTGTATGTATATGTTGTTGTTTGTGTTATTATCATATGCTGTTGAATAAGTAGACCATTTCAGAATTCGAAATTTGGGACTCTCTAAACGCATAATGGGACTCATACTTTTCTGATCATCGAGTCCCTGGGACTCGCTGCCGGTAAACTGTAAAATTATCACTGCATCTCTGATTAAAATTTGCGTTTGACCAGTGTAATTATTAGTGACAGCACTAATTTCTAATCACCCGAGTTTATTTCGACTCCGTAAAATGGTAGTTACCATGAAAAAGCCGGCAAGTAAATATCACTTTGCAATAAAGGACCTTAGTCAAATGCCTCGTGGACATGCGTTTCACCAAACTGTGCTCGCCTGCTTGTCAAGCAACAAGCGGCCGCGCAGCAACAGTTGCCTACATGTGTTCTTTATGAAAGCATACGTAGGTTATCTGATGTTAAGTTAACCCTGCACACACACACACACACACACACACACACACACACACACACACACACACACACACACACACACACACCGCTAACTTCATAAAAGCCCTGCAGCTGCACACCACACGGCCTCTTCACATGCACACATAACCCTGAACAAGCTGGACTAACTCGGTCCTGTCCTTTCTGCTGCTGGCCAGTGCTACTACCAGGGAAACACACACACACACACACACACACACACACACACACACACACACACACAGAGACAAATTAGGAAGATAAATTGCTCCCCTCTCCTCATGTTTGGCCGGGTAGAGTTATCGTGAATTCATTGAAAGTGACGGGAGCTCCAAACCTACCAATACCTTCTTGGACCTCTCAAGGCTGTTTTGACCTCTCATGGACCCAAAATGGAATCTTGTGTGTATTGCGCCACCTGTTACTTTGGCATGAACTTGACAGCCTCGATACACAATCACAAGAATTTTGGACCAGGGAGTCATGTTTTTCTTTGATGTGTGTTTAGTGATTTTTATTTATACTCTCTGATCAATTTCACCTGCCCCATCCAAGTCGTCCAGCGGGGATTTTTAGCTCAGTCAGCTCTCTCTCATTTGCCGCAATTAGTCAGTTTAATTCCTTGGCTTGACAGGTCTTTGTTGTGCGCTTGCTCTAAGTCGTGTCATTTATGGTTATTTTTTTTTTTTGTTTTTTTTTGAGAGATAACAGAGAATAAAGAATACATTGTTTCGACAGAAGGCCGTTATACAAAACCGCCTGAAAGTGTTGAGTCAGTGTGCCAATACTGTAAGTATGTTTCTCCTTAGTGAGATTTCAAAGGCATGCTGTCCATTCTTCAGGTCCACTCAGGGGCTGCTCTGACACACCTTTCGCCTTTGTACAAAGGAGCAAGCTGTGGAACTCAATCTTTTCTTTGGCTCAGAGTCAAGCTTCCCTTCTGGAGGGATTTAACACAGCCAGCAAATCGCAAAGTTGAGGCAGTGTAAAAGAAAAACAACAGCCACAGCATGGAATTAGTCATCCTCGGAGCAAAAAATACATCTGCTAACGGCAGCATGGGTGGTGTGAATGATGGGAAGAGGGTTGTCGTGACATTGCAAACCCAATGGGGGAAGCGAGGTGCGGGTAGAAGTCTCACATTTTGACAGTTTCAGACTCTTTCTGTCTAACTCCATTTTCCGCTGATGCCGCTTATACTGTATGTAAATGTTTTTTGCAATGTCACTGTCATGATTGTTCGGTTTGTGACCAACAGGTGGCATTGGAGGGCTTCTTCGACAGCGTCGCACCCATTGGTCATCATATCATGATCTTTTCGTTTTCTTTTAGGACTGCCTCGCTGACCACTTGGGGTCGGATCGTTGTGTTATTGTCAGGATGTTTTGTTTCTGTGGAAGTCATGTTTTGTTTCTCATCGTGGTGTTTTAGTTCATGATATTTTGTTGCTACTTTGAATTTTGATCTTTACAAGACATTGTTAGTGCTTTTGATTGAGTTTTTCGAGTGTTTGGTTAATAAATATTTTGTTCAGTGCACCCTGCTTCTCCCGCCTGCCTGCTTTTTGGGCGCTCTACCATTATGCAACATGACAGTCGCTGTGTGAAAGTCCCCATGGATAAATGTCACTGACACCCGTCCTTGTGTTAACAAAAGCCTATAGAGCAGGGGTCCCCAACCGCTGGTCCGCGGACCGGTACCGGTCCGCAGGGCATTTGGTACCGGGCCGCACAGAAAGAACTTGCCTTAATTCCGTTTTATTTATTTCGGAATCCGAAAGATGTTTTATTTTGAAAAATTACCGGATTCTCCGTTACATCCGTCTGTGTCACGCTTGACAGACGTCAAGCCACGCTTCTCCGTCACGTGACCGATTACGCTAAAAACAAAACGCTAGAGCTCGCAAAATGAGTAATAAAACTGCTGGAGAGCGCAAATGACGGCGGCCTTAAAAGTACGTTCGAGACAACTGGATTAAAGTTATGGCTGAATATTCTGAGATCGCCACAGTAGCACTGTTGCTATTTCCGACATCCTACCTGTGTGAGGCGGGTCTTTTCTGCAGCAA